TTTTTTTTATGATTTATTTTCGAAACGTCCGATGTGAAATTCACTACTATATAATTTTATATCCCCGTCTGAGTCAAGTCAAGTAAAGTAAAGAGGCGATATTTTGAAAAAAAAAATTGTCGTCATTGGCAATTGATGCATTAGTGTCCCGTCCTGTGAAATGTGTCACCTTCTGAATTCACAAACCGAGATAACAGCTTTATCGTTTTGTCGATCGAAGCTTTCATTTGCAGCCACGTGACTTTTATTGTGACGTTCTCTCGTACGTGCTTGGAACCACAGTCCCTCTATAGAGGGACTGTGTTGGAACGCACTTTCCGAAACGCTTTCAGTATAGTTTACACTTTGTGTCGGAAATAGACGAGATGCGTGATGTTCCTTTACACCAAGCATGCCAGTTTCACGACTCATTTAATTTAAACGCAAAATTCGGACAAAGATCAAATCATTTCAATTCTAATTGGCAAATTGTCAAATTCCACTCAATATTCATATCATTGATATGAGAATAGGACATAAAGGGACGCCGTAGAATGTGTAATTCAAGTAACCCGACAGTGAGCCAATCGGATATGCACACAGCATATTCAGTATTTCAATTAATGATGTCATTCAAACCACGTGTCAATTACGTCATTGTGCTCACAAATGTTGGATTAGTGGGATAAACGTGCCAGCAAGAAAATTGACGTTGACGTGTAAAAAAAAGTGTCACATACTAAATCCGGTTATCCAACAAATCATGCGCGCTGAGTTCGTATGTCGAAGTTGAATACATATCGATAATTAGTTTCTTGATTTCAATTTACTAAAGTATCATTTCTGCCAAAACATAAATGGAATAAAATATAATACTTTTAACCTCACAAAAAATAATGTTAGAAATCAATAATGTGCGAAAATATATTAACATTGTTGTAAACCTTTCCACGTCATCATTGTTATAATGCACTGCAATAAATAAATTATCTAAAATATATCAATAAATAGTTGCTGTCTGGCGCGTAAGTAATAATAATGCAGTACATATTGTTTAATTAAGAATTTTGTCGAATATTATTATCTAAAATGTGTGGAAACTACGACTGCCCGCTAACGGCCACAGTGAGCACATATTACGTCTGACTATGTACTCACTTTTTAGGCTCGTTCACAATTTGTGTATGGCACGTACGCCCGACGTCTCATGCATACAAACAAATAAACCCGCGTGCATTTTATTTCGCGTTGTCTTAAAATATAGAGCAGAGTTTCTCTTTTATTTCCAAAATCGGTTTTGTTTGTTATCACTTTGCAAAAAAAATAGATAAAAGAATTTAAACCAATAACGTTTGCAGTTTTATACCGGTTTATAAAAGAACAGACCTTTGAATGTTTTCAAATTCCGCCATATATTCGCTGAATTCCGGTCCAGTTACGCATTATGGCGATGACGAGTTACCCTCGTCCTTGTTCTCAAGGGACGCCGGGAACCAGCGAACGTTGCCACGTCGGGCTTCGTCAAATCTGATTGGGTACGTCCAATCAGATTAATCTATTTTACGAAGACAAAATACGCGACTATTCGCGCAGATGTTCGTGGTCGAGTATGCGCATGCGTACATCAACTAAGTTTGCTCGTTTGAATTAAATTGCTTTAGGTATAATTTCTAGAGGATAATTTATATTCAAAAATACATGCTTGGGTAACATTGAAACCCTACTTTTAATCTCCCTGTGTTTTGTTTGTTTGTTTCTTTGTCTGTTGGTAGATTTTTTCCATGTATCAAAATCTGCCTTGTAAGTGTTCGACTCAACTGGTGTTTTATTGATTAAACATTCATCACGGAAATTGGGATATTTTCCAAGCAATTTTGTTTCTCTGTTTTCTTTCATCATTTCACAAAATTGTGTTCCGTATAAATATACCATCTCGCAAGTATGTAAAAATGTGTATGTAAGGTTGTCATGGAAATAATGGGAAATTGTTGCAACGTTATCTAATAAGTCATACTGCATGAATACAAAAAATATGTCATACCAAAAAAACAAAAGCTGATGACTCACTTTCAAATGAACAATATCGTTTCAAGGTAGAACTGTCACAAAAGTGAAGATATTGTAATTTTTGTATTTTTACTTGTTATAAATATCTTACTTGTTATAATAAATAAATGAATTTAACCCGTGTGGTCACCGTACTCAGTTGAAAGAATAAAATACAGTGAAAACGGAATGTTTTGCCCTTTTTGGCATTTTACCATTGTTTCTTATGGCAAGAGTATTAAATATTTCACAATTTTGTTCGGTCATATGTGGTGTGTAAAAGTTATACTGTGAAGTTATATTAATGTCTAAAAGTACTAAAACATATTTTTAGTGAAGAAATGTATTTTTTGTGAACTATGGAAGCCGCTGCCGAAGATTTTATCGTTTTTTTTCTCAAAAACAGATTGAAAGTGGACCAAAAATGTTCACATATGTTAACTTATTCCACACGATTACTCGTAGATCGAAAGCCCACCGAAATCCACAAATTACATTAACTTCAATAATTCATGTTTATTTTCATCACGTTTTTTCATATTTTTACTTCAATTACTTCTTTATGATGTGTAATTTTATTTTTCATCAATATTACTAATTCAACCGAAACGTGAACATCAATCAGTTAT